CATTTAGATGGTGACACAACATCTGATACAGAGTGGAGGTCAGCTCGGTTGTCCTCAAGTGACGACAACTGTTCAAGGTTCCTTTTACTTTTCTTATGTTCGCGTACAACACTTTTTAATGTATTGTTATCTTCGTGTGGGATAAAACAGTTGTGGTTCAGTCTCAATGACGCCATTCGTGTGCAACAGCTTGAGGAAGAACAAGAGAGACTCAATAATTCCTTGTTCTCGTTAAGTTCTCATTTCGCCCAGGTTCAGTTTCGATTGAAACAAGTTGCTGAAGCCAAAGGAGAAGACAAGGAGGTCTATGTTTTGCTATATATTCTAAGTACACGAGCTGTTGCGAATTAGTCTCGTGTAATATTTTTTATTTCCGTAAGCGTTTTTATAGGCATTATTGAAAGATCTGCAAGAGTTTGCCTTCAAAGGTTGTGCAGATATGAATGAGCTCAAACGATTACGTAGCGAGAGCGAAAGTGGGGAAGTATTGGAGATTCAAAAACAAAGGTGAAATAATTGAAGTTACTTATCTCGAATTGCTTTGCTGTTATGTACGATTTTACCTGACACTTTCATTTTGAATATTTTCTTCCTACCCACCCTTTTTTGAATATGATTTTGCTAGGCAGAACGAGCTTTTAAAACAGCTGCGAGAGCAGCTGGAAGACTTGGAACGGATAGCATACGAAAATGGCGAGGGGGACATGCCGAGCACATTGATTCTACAAAAACAGGTTTCTTTTGGATTTTATACTTCATTACTGATGAACACGAAGTAGCATATTTACATTCTGTCAGCGTTCATCTTCAGAAAGCAGTTTTGGATGAACTACATGAAAAGATGTCGTTAGACTTAGAGCTAGAAAAAATGTCAGTTGCAGACATCCAGAAACACGTCGATAGTGCTTTGAAACAGGTATTCTTCTATTGGTATTAGTTAACTCTAAATTTATCTTGAAATAATCCTTTTTTTTGCAGCTTGTTAATCCTTTCAAAGAGAAGCAGCAACTAGTTGAACAACTTCAAACTCAAATAGTCGATCTCGAGCGATTTGTAAGCTATTTGCAAAAAGAGAATAACTCTCAGGAATCTTCTCCTGCTAAAGTGAGATCTTTTGATCACTCGATGAACATTGTAACGTTTATACTCTGCTGTCCAGGCGCTTTCCTCTTCGCAGTTTATTGCAAGTAAACCTAAGCCAAGCAGATTTTTTGGTCTAGTCGGTGGTTCTGGTCAACGTTTCCAGAAGAATCAGCTGAAAAACACAGTACATGGAAATCATTACGGGTGTTTTCTCAAAAAATCTCCATGTTTCATTGTTTACTTTCTATTTTTTCAATTTTTAGGGACGAAAGAGCACGTTTGCAACTGGCAGTCGATGCTACTTTACAAGTTTTGGAAAAGTATACTCTGCTGAATATTGAAAACTCATCCA